AAATTTTGAATCCCAGACCCATCGATTTTCCTTCCCGTACCACCTTAAGCAACTCCTCAGGGTGACCGGGTGAACTGAATTCTCTAAGGTCTGGTCGAGAAGTTCCGAGATTGAATTTCTTTTTAAAATTCGCCGTGGAGACTCTTCCGGCTGCGAATCCTTCGAAGTAGTCCTCTCCGGCGCCGTCACAATTTTTCCAGCGTTTCTTCGGCATCGCCTACACACGGAATCGCTCGCGTTCGGTAACGCTGCCCTGAACGAACTCAAACCTCCTTCCATTCCACCGCAACCTTTAGCTCAGGGAGCACAAGGGAATCAGTGGGAGACAGGTCAGTAATTGCTGGTAATTCCAATTACTACTAGTAATTGGAATCGTGCAATTTTTTAATTATTATTATTTCCCTTAAATATTCGATGCTCCCTTCAACTCATTTCCGAGGGTTCTTCTAGCTATTTCCCCTTCGTCGGAAGCACGATCGCGAAATTTAGACGAACCTATTTAGGCAGTCCATCCCATCCATAGGGCTCTCGTTTGCAATATATAGCATATATTGCTATATATTGCGATATAAATATGATGTAAATGAGATATGAAAATATGAGACATATATGATAAATATGAGAGGCCTCTCATATTTATTTGATGCTGGCCACATTTCGAAGGCGCTAATTCCACTGCCGAAATAAAAAATGGCACCGCCGCCGTTCAAGCGTTTGCGAGTGATGTCTGGAGGCTAAAAGACCTTCAGCTCAGCTGATGCTGAAAGGTTCTGTCTAGCCAAACGACTTTCTTCGACAAACCAGTTTTCCGCGAAACCCCACCGTCCTTCTTCGTGAAGGTGATTTTGCACAAATTGACCCTATCGGCATCTAAATTGACCTTGTAATTTCATGCTACATGTTAAAGGTAATCCGTATTGCGAAATAAATACTTTTCATTTTGTATTGTATCACACGAGAAACATAATTAAAATACTTTAGTAGACAAATATGGGAACGAGACATATGGAGCACCCAGTAGAATGGCAAGAACTGGTATAACCAGGCCTGTCAATGTGTATTTTTTTTTTTAAAGTTGACCTACATTGAGGAATGAAGGCACGAATATCAGAGAGTGTGATTTTTTTTTAAATTTTATTAGACATGTTGGAGGAGGGAGAGCTCAGATAGCATGACAAAGGAAAAACAAAGGAGCGGCGGGAATCGATCCCGGAGTATTTTGATTGCCATATAAGTAATTTTCTACAACACCATGGAACCAAATCCAATAAAGTGATATTTTCCATGCCATCCCTAACACTACAACTGGAGAGATGGATTCTACGCACACCCCCCCCTCCCGACACGGACTTTTCAGCAGGGACGCGTAAAACGTCCCCACGTATTACACTTGGAGTCCCCTTTCATCCCTTAAGGAAGGATGACAACGATCTCATCATTAGGTATCCCTTACGGAAATGTCCTATAGGAAAGGAAATCGATAAAGAATATCCTTTGGATATCTGAAAGGATATCCAAAAACTTTGTGCTTCTTGGATTGCCTAGGAAATCTTAGGATATCGATCCCTATAGGTTCTTATAGGTCTCCTGACCTATAGGACTCGGGGAGGATACTTTGGGTTTCGAAATCCAGGCATTACAACGGAAAAGGCGACCGGGTTAATAATGGCACAGCATTTCGGTGTAAATCAAAAACCGATTACGGGTTTTTCCATGGTAGGGGGGACATGCATTATTAATACCAGTACTGCGGGGGTCTGCATAATTTATGACCCCGCCCCACCATGTGTCGCTGGATTGCACGTCGACTTCCTTCGGTAGAGAGAAGTAGTATTCATTTCTCGACCTAAGGAAATATAAGACAGAACCTGCGAGCACGTCTTAAAGAGACGTGCTCGCAGGAGTGAAATTCCATTTGGATAGAGTCCACTCATTTTCGAACTTGGTTTTCAAAAGGAATAAGGGCATAATTCTTCACGGGACTCAATGATTCTATCTGGAAGATGGGGATGACAAAGAAGGAACTGTTGAAGTTTATTGATTGCTACAATGAGGCAAGGCGAGACATTTGGGGACGTACAAAACTCTCTTGTGAGAGATGATTCCTTGGGTAAGGGGNGGAACCTATAGGATTCCTTTAGGTTCCTATAGGATTCTTATAGGAATATATAGATTTCTTATAGGAATATATAGGAATCCTATAAGACATTTTCGTAAGGGATTTCATCATCAGATCATGTATTTATACCGATATCTCGACCCCTTCATCGATCAGAACCCCGTCATTTTATTGATTGGCATTCCCACAAGGAGAGCAACTCCCGAAGGTGAAATGGCTGGATCCCACTTTTATGGCTCACCCTTGGATCGGAAAGACGCCGTCGGCCTCGTAACCATCCCATTTCTCAAGCGTGTATTTCACTCATTAAAAGGCCGACATGAAAAGTGGTGATGGACTTCACCGACGATACGGGAAAAGGATGCGGAAAAGGATGAGGGGTCCCCCACACCGGATGATATACGTATTAGTAACGTTGTTTTGTATTGTTTAGTAACGTTCGTTAGCAACGAAGAGTTGACCGTGTGTGTTTGAAGCAGGAGGGAGGGGGGAAGAGTGGAAAGGGGGCCCTCACGTTAATATTGTCCCAGGCCTCACAATTCATCTCGGCAGCCCTGAATTTGTTATAGGCTTAGTCTAGGCGAGAAATGTCAAACTTGATTAAGCTGGCGGCCGGATCACTTGATTAAGCTGGCGGCCCTTCAGGAGTGGTCGAGTCCACATTAGCAAACCTTTCACCAAAGTTTCAATTGCCTTTCCGAAACCAAATGCTGAAGAGGACTTCGCAGGCCGACCCGAAGTTCATGGAGGTCTTCAGTCCTCCTCGGGAACGGGATGGAGGGGATGCTTCTTATGTCGTTGGGAGGGCCGCTGAGTTTTAGGGCTGCCGACTGAGCTCGGGAATTCCTGAGAAACAGTCTTGTGAAGACTTTCGCGGGTTGGGGTGCTCGACTCACGCTCACGAGCTCGCAATTTTCTCTCTGGCCTTCGCGAATGCCGGATTTGTTCTTGAGAACGGAAGAGGGAGTAATTTACGACTTGCGCACACTTCCCCCCCCCATTACTAAGAGATATTCACGCCTCGATATGAACTTCCACGCGGAAAGTGGCACTTACAACACTCTTCACGTTTTCCCTTCTTCCCGTCTACATAAAATATTGATGCAATAATTTTATGTAGAAGGATTTGCATGCTCAAGTTCAGTCTGAATTAATGGAGATTTTCCTTGTTAATCACTGACTTACGAAATCAGTCTTTCATCAATAATGATGCCATTGAAAGGGGAGAGTAATTATGATGAATTCTTTTTGGTTGAGATTCACGCGCAATTAAGACCCGATCAGCGAAAACCATTCAGACATGACGACTTTCTTGGCGAAACGTTCTCGGTCGGTCGGTCGGTCTGGGTCGGTCTGGGTCGGTCTGGGCCGGTTTGGGTCGGTTTGGGTCGGCCTGGGCCGGTTTGGGTCGGTTTGGCTCGGAACAAAGCTTACTTGTAATTAATTTTTTTTTTGTTTATTTGAATGGAACCCTCAAGAGGAACACACTTTTCATACACTTCCATTTCGGAATGCCTGCTCCGAGTACTTCCAAAAGAATTCCACTGAAAGGTTTTAGGCGCAAAAAGTGTGAGCGGCATTTCTGAGGAGTCTTTCGCCGAATAAAGTACGTTGTGATTTTTTTCTGAACATTCCAATAACTTAATCTTCGCATATAGGGGTTTCGATTTTGTCACGAAGTTCTTATTTCTTATGGTTATCCAGATAGCAACGCCGTTAAATGTTTATGTCCGGGTTGGATATCCAATTGACGGCCTCCGGGGAAGCTTTGTGGATGATCCCTCCGGGAAAGAGTCTCCTGAACAGGAATGGGTGAGATGGTCCATGCTCTGTTGACTGGAGCCACAGTCGCCGCTTGAATCTACTTGAGAATATTTTAGAGACCGTTCCAGTTGGACAACATAATAAAATGGCAATCTGGGAAAGGGCTGTGGAGATTGGCCGCGAGGCAGCACAGGCCTCGCGGCCAGCCTCCGCAGGCCAGGGCTTCTTCATATCGCGCGGAGGGAAAAGTCTGAATTGAGGCTGAGGTCCGTTCTAAAGTATCATATTCTTTGAGACATTAGCTCAATCGGGTTAATCTTAAAAAGCTGCTGCGTAAGTCATCTTTAACTCACGCCCAGTTCCTAATTGACGCTTGTATTTGCGAACTTCACTGCAATTGAATACGATCATGAACGTACGTTGAAACGAGATTTCTATTTCTGAGATTAGGCACATCCTGGAAACTTCAAAAGAAAAAGCAGCTCAAGTTGACAGAGTCCTGAGACGTCAGACAGTTTCAACGAAGTTCGGCGGTTGCGCGCTCTGTGGTGTTCAGAATTTGAGAGGACTTGATGAGGTCCGAGGCCTTCTCCCCGATCATGATGCATGCTGCCATGCAATTGGCGGAGACCATCACCGGCATGATGGATGCATCCGCCACTCGCAGCTGCTTCACTCCGTACACCCTGGAGAGATGTGGAGGAATTGTTGATATTCTACGTCATACACTGTGCGTCCTCGTTGATGCAAACGAAGATGTTTTGAACTGTGCATAATGGATATGTCTACAATTTGTAAACGATTATGTCAATTGCCTCATGAAGGGTGCAACTAATGGACATACCGAAGTGTAGGGTCCACGACAGCTCCTGGATCGCTGGGAGGCCCCATCTTGCACGTGCCTCCATCATGCCAATGAAGATACGTGAACTGTCGAATGTGGCACTCCCAATACTCGTCTGTGAACTGTTCTAGATGCCTACAACCGGGCAGGGATTGTTTGTAGAATTGGGCCCCGAGTTTCTTGAATGCTGGTTGCTCTCCCAATTGCAGTACCAAACGAATTGCTAGAAATTAAGAGTTGACCAGTAAAAGAAAGAAGTGCATACATACATTTACAATGCATATAAGATGAATTTGAAGTGTAAGATACCTTCGATTGTTATCTTGACATCGTCAGGATCCTTGAAATAGTTTCCAATAATGATTGGGTGATCGAGAATGTTGGCGCTGCGCAACAATATCTTCCCTCGACTTTTTGGCCTAGTAGGATGGGGATAAACTCCGAAACCGCCTCGATACTTCAGTCCGGAGTAAGTCTCCCACGCCTAAAGAGGATTTGTGAGTGTTGTCTGAGGGATTAAATTCGCGCTGTCGGTCCATTCGATCCAGCCATGCGGCACTTTTAATACTTGAATGGTTTATTTGATGGGATTTTGCGTCTGGATGGAGAGCAGAGGATGACATTACCTCATCGCTAAGTGGAATGACAAGATTAAGGGAATGAACAATGAAGATATTGGATGCCATTTGAAAACAAGATATCCCTGGCACGTAGACCCATTAATCAGTTTCCTCATCTTTCGAAAATTTGGTAAAGCATGCAGAAGAACGATTTCTATGACATAGTCAAGGAATCGGACCGGTTTGGGATCATAGAAACACGTGGGTTATATCGATAATTTCTCCTAAATGAGTTAATTAAACATATGAAATATGTATTGTTTTGTCCCATGGGAAGCCGACGAACCTCATCTGAGAGCCCGATCCTGCGTTTGTAAAAGTTCCCTCCGTCGGTGGCGATCGTGAGCGCCCCCATTAGCAGCTCGATGTCCGGCCAGTCTGGATCGGCGGCGTGGGACGTGTTCACGAATGCGACGCCCTCGAAACCCGTTGGCGATGAGAGTGGTCCTGAAACATGAGATTAATTAAATCAGCACAAGTTACAGTTCACGAAGTTACTCATCGAATCCGCTCTTAACATGCGGTGAATTAATAAGACATGCATGGCCTCTCCAGAGCGCTGTTAGGTTTTCAAACTCCACCTTTCAGCTTTTTATCGAAGGTCATAGCTATATATCAGCTACAAAGTGAGCACAGGAAGCCAGGATGTTCAAGACGATCGCGGGAGCAATAACTGAGGAAACATGATCCCGGAGTCCATTGTAAACGGCTGACTTTCCAGGCTGAAGAGCTAAGTTCCATTTTTATTCCATTCATTCATTCTCCTTTCGGTCAATCCCAACCTTATCGCAGCTGAAGCGTGTTCCCAACGTTCTCGACCTTGCACCGCCGACTTGAGCTCAACAAGCGAGAACTGATCCTCGAGCGACAATGCCTTGCAATCAGGCCTCGTGTGAGGTCTATAAGCTGATCGCTGGGGGAGTGGGGCAGAGGGGTCGGAAACACCGGATTTTAAATTTCTCGAATGTTAACAAAATGATGAAAAATATTAAAAATAATTAATAATCTAAATAATAAAAAGAATAAATACTCCTAAAAATTGACTTGTACCTCTTTTGAAATTCCCTATTTGGCAGCCATCGACTCCAGGGAATCATGTACCCGCATCGGCATGGAATGTACTGAAAACGGGCCTACCGTCGCCGGTCTTGAGGTAGTTCTCCAGTTCGGGAAGAAAGTCGGTGGTGAGGAGGTCGGGGACGAAAAGGCCAGATTTTTGAGTGAAACTGAAGTAGAGTCCACCGGGTCCCGCGTGGCTTTGCAGGTTCTCTCCCACCGGAAGATCCACAATCGGCTGGATCTGCGTTAATTACGGGATGCACGTGAAGTGAAATTAATCAATTCAGGGTGGCCTTTCAGAAAGGAATGCATCTTCTTTTGTGATTTTAATGAACACTTTAATAAACATAAAGAGCAGCTATCGAGCGAAAATATTGTTCTGAGAAATACATAATTTTATTTATTTATATGCGATCCTTTTCATTCGATATCGTTTGAAACTGTGTTCATCGCTGTCGAATCGGCTGTATTCACGTTTTCGATGCTCCGGATTTCCTTTGCATTCAGCTTTTCTCGCAAAATGTATTCTTTTGGCCAGGTTGCTTTCCTGCAACATGCAAAATTGCAAAATAAATTTTGTCTTCTGAAAAGATGGGCTTGGGGAAATGCTAACTTCCTGCTTAACGTAGTGACAGACATTATCAACTTCATGAGGCTTAAAAATACTCCCCAAGCAGAACCAATAAATCACTTTGGATGGAATGCAATACAATTTGTGCAATTAGACGGTGGCACGTTAATTCGTTCATTTTAGGGGAAATATCGAGTTTCTGCACCAGGAAAATATAAAGATATGTTTAATTTAGAGCAATGGTTTTTCATCACAGGCGCCATATTTATGCATTAAAAGTAAATCTACGTAAAGAAGATTCCTTTTTCCAGGATCACCCTATTCATTCTTCAGTCCCAGTGAGATTGCGAACGCAGAGGTATATTCATTTTTCTAAATGGCTTCCTAAAAGCGCCCGGCTGAATTTGCAGTATAAGTTAAGAGAGGTCACTTATTTGCTCACCGGTCAAATTGAATTTTGTTCGGAAATTGCAGTCTCTCCAAGTTCTGATGAACTGTATTGCACCGTACAGACGAAATCCGGGCACTTTGATCTGAATGCTCTTAGAAATGTTGAAGCGTTTGAATGAGGGATGGACCTACCCAACTGGGTAGAAAGTGAAAGTCGAGCAAAAATCATCCCCTTAGATCAGGGGTCGGGAACGTTTTTGGCCGTGTGAACCACATTAATATTGAGCTAAGTGTTCATGAGCCAAAGATTTCCAAAGGAGAATTTTCCAAAAAGTTGGACACAGACACGTGCAATAGAAAAATGGGAAACAACCATGATTTTTTGCCATGACTCATGAGCCCAAATTTTCGGCTCATGAGCCATAGGTTCCCGACCTCTGCCATAGACGGAACGTGCGCCTATTAGTACTAATGACACCGAGGAGGTATGGACCATGCGCATACACCATGCTTTTCGAGTTCCTTCTTGGGTCCGATGCCGGAGAGCATGAGGATCTGAGGAGAAGCGACAACCCCAGAACGTGCGCCTATTAGTACTAATGACACCGAGGAGGTATGGACCATGCGCATACACCATGCTTTTCGAGTTCCTTCTTGGGTCCGATGCCGGAGAGCATGAGGATCTGAGGAGAAGCGACAACCCCGGCGGACAGGATCACCTCCCTCGTCGCCGAGACGAAACGCCTCGAGCCGTCTTCATTCAGGTACTCGATCCCCTTCGCCGTCTTCGTTGACTCGTCTATCACGATCTGCTTAGAAGAATCAATGCTGCATGCTAATCGGTTCGGATATCCTTTCCAACTCGGAAGAACGCATGGGAAATGGACCTATGGCGTAGTCAGCTTTACTGTTTGGTTCGACTATTTAACCATCGTTCTGGTAATAATAAAAATTACCCATTGTTGTAGGCCACACCGTGAACTTTTAAGTCCGATACTCCGTGTATTTTTTATGTAAAATATGTGCTATTAACCCTAATCCGGGCAAGGTGAGTCCGCTGGACTCACTACAACATATTTCGGTCTATTACTCTCATTATTTTTTTGTAGAAAAATGAGCTTTCGTGACTTTGTCACCTTGTTCTTGCTCTTCAATAATACAAAGAAATTTACAAAGAAATACATACCGTAACCGCATCAAACGGCCTTATTTTACAAGTGAGTCTGACAGACTCACCTTGCCCGGAATAGGTTGTAAAAAAGCTTGCCCGGATGAGGGTTAAATTGGCTAAACACTTTGAAGTGATTCTCGACTAGAAGCGACTCCAGTCCAAGATGCTGCCTGGAGGGACTCGCCGCCCCGGTCGGTGGGGGAGGCCTCTCCGTTATTTACTCGGTATGTACCTTCCCAATTATTTCTATGAAAATGAAAAAAATATAAATCCTATCCATTGCGAGTGACGCTATGATAGCTTCTGGAAAAAGAGTTTCTGGGCCACACAGGCGTGGGGTGATGTACATGCAAAACTACTTGACAAGATTTTCCCAACTTGGAAGTTCACTTCTTGACGCAATCGCTCTCGTTTCTGGGGAATTTGTGTTTGTGCGAACAAACGCATGCAAGGAATAGTGTTGCATTGTAGTTCCTGCACCCGTTCTGATATCATTTTCATTTCCTCGACGATGTCGTAGTCACGCCGGGCACCATCCACAACTGGGGAATTTGTGTTTGTGCGAACAAACGCATGCAAGGAATAGTGTTGCATTGTAGTTCCTGCACCCGTTCTGATATCATTTTCATTTCCTCGACGATGTCGTAGTCACGCCGGGCACCATCCACAAGATTGAAGAGATGAAATTCCAATGTTATATCGGGGAGGTACGCCTGGCTTAGGAGGCGCTGTCTATTTTGCCTCAACCAGCATTTTCTCAGGAGAGGTTTAAATTTTTCATTTTGAGCAACACGTGGCGCTTTACCAGACACGACCGATTATGTTTGATGGCCTGCTCAAGCTAGTGCTGGGTGGTGAAGAAGTGGCTCACGTTGTTCTTTGCTTTCGGCGCTAGATAATCCAGGCGCATAATTATTTGGGAGCGTCTCCAGGAACCATTCCTAAAAGATTACTGTGCTTGAAAAGTAACGGGTTGTGGGATCCCTCAAGGTCTCACAATATATATAGGGTGGTTTAGGAAAAAAACGCTCTACCGTTTCCTAAAGAATAAATTCCATCGGCAATCGCGTTCGGTAGAGCGTTTTTTTTTTAACCACCTTATACATTCTCACCTTTCCTTTCTGGTTCGAAATGACGCTGCTCCTGCATCAGCTTACACCCTGAAACTTTGGTTTAGCATCTGCAGCTTCTATTGCTGGTCTGCATGTATTTTCTAAGGCGATTCTCTGAGGTGAATATCCCATTTTCACACCCGCGTAGAGGGCAGATTCCTTCTTTGTTCTGAATCTTTTCTTTTCGTTTCAGAATCTTTGTTCGACATGTGCCTCCTCAAAAACCTTTAGATTACATTGCTGCTCTCTCTGTCTTCACCGTCTTCACGGTGAGCCGCATCTCACCGTGAAGACGGTGAGCAAGGAAGGAAGATTATTCTGTACAATCACAGTCGCTTATATAAAAAAATCTCAATTTCCAGAAACATTCAAAACGTTCCTCCTATATTTTCAGAAGTCAAGGGTATCTCTCTTCTCGAGAGACGATCACTCACCCTGGAGACTGGCGTGTTGAGGAGGACGTGGAGGTTTCTGCGATGCCTCACCGGCTTCAGATACGCCCTGGCCGTACTGTATCGTTTGCCTCGTTTAGCTGCCACTTGCACTCTGCTGAAACCTGTCCAGCAGTCACCTTTAGTACGCTCCGCTTACCACGTCCTTAGTGAATAGCACCCCCAGTACGTTCCCTAAATTTCATAAAGTAGTGCAACAATTGGACGAAGCCTGCTTTGTCCCCCTGTGTCATGTATGTACAGGGTGCGTGAAAGTTCCTCAACCAAATTTTTCGAAAAAAAAAAATTAAATTGAAGACAAAATCACCAGCTGAAAAAAAAAACAGATGAGAAAAAATAATTATTCATCAAAAAATAAATCGGTTGCAGAAATTTCCGCGCACCCTGCAATTCAGTTAGAACATCTAAAAAGTATTCTCCCTTGTGATCTCGACAAGGAAAGGAATGAGGCTGAAAATGAAAGGAAAATAAGGATAGAAGGGGGTTTGTCCAAATTCCAAAGGAGAGATAATGAAATGGAACGACTTCTTTAAACTCCGCGACTTCGTGGTGCGTACCATCTCGCGTTTCCTGAGGCCAAACGCATAACACGCATGAAGCGGAGGTCCGCGGAGGAATTGAATGCGGAAGTTATGAGCGGGTTTCGTCAACAACACCGAAAGTATCTTCAAATTTATTTTTCCTATGCTGTCACTGGAATGAAACGAAATTTCTTGCAGGGCTGCAAGCACATATTCCACCTGAAAGTTGCATATTTTTTCAGGAGAAAACTTTTCTCCATTTCGGGCGTTTCTGGAAGCTTTCAGGTTTCATCAGTCGAGCTGGATATTTCATTTCAACAGTAAGTTGTAGGTGAAGCTGCTCAGAAAACACATTTTTGGGGAATAATCGGCCAAGATCCCATAAATCAGACGTTATTTCATGCTTCAAAAGTCTTTTTGACGAGAATTCCTGCGATTTCAAAAGTTCGCTCTCTCAAGCCGATTACAAAATATAATTCTTGATAGTATTATCATGATGTGAAATTAAATTTTTCTTATTATTCCAGAGAATTGGTAAATCCGAGGAGTACTAATTTTTTTCTACTACTGGTATGTCGAAATCAGGAAAATTATCGTACTTTCAAATATACCTCATACTGATTATGCGTCACATATAAGATGTAACTCGAAGAGACATACCCCTCTGAGAAGCGCCGTTGTAATCCTTGTTGTAGGGGAATCCCAGGCTCTCCCCCGCCTCGATGAACGCCGGCAGCACGTCCGTGACGTACGTGTGAGACACGGGGAAGTAGCCTCCAGTCCCGTGGTAAGGAGCGTCTCCTGCACGAACACGCATTGAATGAAGAATTCAATTTTGTAGAAGAAAATAAGTCCGAAAATTATAATTTTTCATGGCTGTTGAGTTATTTTGATTAGTATTGAGCACTTGAGGAACAGTTTATTTCAGTTATTTAAGTTCGTGATTCTCCAGTTATTTTAAATTGCTAAACTGCTTTTATACACCCAGTATGAGCCTCGTTCTGGTTTGATAGATGCGCAGGAAAGGTTATTCTTTCATAACGAATTTTTTTTTTTCCGTGAGCAACACGATTTCTTGCGTATCTGGTTTGGAGGGCGTTCTTCGACACGACTTCGTCGTTCCTGATAATATTAGACCGACTCTTGCATTGAAATAGACAGAGATTCCAATCCTACATATGATATTAAGAATGCCGTCATAATCTCGAGCCGGTTCTGCAAGGCAGGATTTCGTGATTGCCCTATATGTTAAAAGATCAGAGAAATTTTTCGCATTTCATTGAAAAAAAGCCAAAATCTCAAAAAGCTATTAAGATCTCAAAATGATTTTTAGCATTCATGTATTACATATTTAGCAATATATCAGCCACATTTAACTGAAATCTCAGATCAGGAAATTTCGCAAAATGAGTTCAAATTTCATTGCATCAATTTTATGACTATGTGCTAGTGCTGTATGACGGACCTACGATTACATACAGTATGATTACATGCGAAAGAGGAGGAACAGGTCTTTCAAAAGAGCTATAAATCATCTCTGTATCTCCACTATAGCTAAAGTTATCCCGATATCACTACTGAGTCACAACCCAGTTTTAAATCACGGCTGGAAACAGCTATAATTTCCAGCTGGACTCCAGCTGTAAATTCGGACCCATTCCAACTGGGTAACAGCTGGAAAGTAATCTCTAGATTTATTCCTAATTGCTATATCACTAGCTGAACAGGAATCTTTTTGTTGACTTTTTTTGTCAGAGGTCCATCTGTAGAAACAGCTGATTTTCAACTATAAATTTAGTAACATTCCAGCTGTAGGGTCCTCCTCATAAAATTCCAACTGGAAAATGTATGCTAATAAAATCAGCTGCATTTCAGTTAGATAATTTCAGCTTAGAATCAACTGGTACCTACTATTTTCCAGCTCTTTGCCACCTGGAAATAGTCCGATTTTACAACTTTCGTCCAGCTGGAACCCTTGTAGCACGCAACATTGAAACAACATTGATTCACTGTTGTTTCAACATCTGGACGTCGAATCAACATTGAAACAATGTTGTTTCAATGTTATGTGGTGTTAGGGAATATTCCTGTTCGGATTTTAAGCTGGGATAGTAGACACTTTTTCAAAACCCCATATCTTAAGATTTAATTGACTGAAAGCAAAACTATATCGAATATCATGATTTGTCAATGGTACAGAACATTAATCAAAATTTCACGACCCGTCATGTCTGTAATGTCCGACTCGTAATCCGTCGTTCGTGGAATTAGCTCCATCGTGATGAATGAAATGAGAATCCATGCGAAGGAGAATAACAAGGATAAGTTCTTCTCTCGCCTTCCGGGACATCCTTGACGAAAAAGTTCTCAGCTCTCTTGAAAAGGGGGAGGATGTCGTCGAAAGACCATCCAGGATTTCCCATGGCGGCCCAGTTGTCGTAGTCCTTGCGATTTCCTCGCACATATATCCCGCCGTTCAGGGACGAACTTCCTCCCAGCATCCGCCCTCTGAACCAACGGCATCTCTGATGGTGCAAAAAGAAACCCGATCTAACTTTTCTTTGGACTTGATGGGGCAATCTGCAAACAACCTCCAAAATGACATACGCAGTTTTGCTTTTGAAGAATGCCTATAAGTGGATCAGTGACGAAACCATGACGAATATTGCAGTTCCGCCCTGGATTATGTGAAACTTTGCTGAAATAATTATCACTATTTGCAAAAAGAAATTTTGTTGCAACATTTTTTTTGCCGGCTGCAGTCAGAAAAAAATTACACAGGAAATGTCGATTATCTGGGTTCAGCGAGATATCAGTCGATGGACTTTCTCTGTCGATCGAAGCCTTCTCGGTGGATCGCCTCTTTTTAAGTTCGGGATGAGGCAAGAAAGGCACGGGAAAAGGGCGGGAGGAACGATTGAGGCAGAGGCCTCCCCCCAGGCCATGACCATCCCGAGTGACCAGCTAATAGCGGTGGGGAGGGGGTCCCGCCTCGTTAATAACGCCTCAGGGACGAGGAATGGATGGTCTAGGTTTTACGAAGTGAAATACGGCACAAATAAGCCTGCTCTACGGCGTAGATGTTTGACTCGATTTTCACGAAAGCGCGCCGAATTTAAAAGTCGCAACATGATGTATCTACTTGCATGAGGAATCCCTCTGGAATGACTTCGTGGTTTCGAGATTGATTTCGCCTCTTTTGAGGTACTAACAACTGCTGACTAGTTCTTGATTACTAATTTGTATCGAGCCCACCAGAATGAATTCGAGCGAAAAAGACGTTTTCATACTATTCATGAGGAAATTAAAATCTTTGAAAGATTCTATTAAGCGGGAAATCAATTCTGGAATTCTGGAAACGCGCAGAAAAACAAATATAATGTCATATTCGGATGAATTATTACTGAGGAAATTGTAATCAATTTTGAAATAGAAAAATATCACTCTAAATGCAGACGGCATTTGCCCAAATATGCAGACAGTACTAAAGACTTTTCTTTGTTTCTACAGGGTGTCCAAAAAAAATGTATACACACTTTGATTGCTAATTACTTCTATGTTTAATTTCATAAATTCAATTTTATAATTTTATAATGAAGAAAAAATGTGAGAAAAAATTATGCATTAACGCAAGTGTTCAAAATGTCCTCCATTCTCATCCAGGCATTGTTGACATCGTCGAGAAACTGAAGTTTATACGAGGAACGAAAAGTTCCAGCACCTCTTGTGATCTCGTGGGGCTCGTGGATGTGCGAGGTCTTCCAGATCGTTGCCTGTGTACATTTTGCACAGTGCCATCCGCTTCAAATTTATCTCGAATACGCGAAATTGTGAGACGCGTTGGTGGTTCAGTGTGGTATTCACTCCTAAACTGTCTCTGGACTTAGTTNTTCGTGATTGCCCTATATGTTAAAAGATCAGAGAAATTTTTCGCATTTCATTGAAAAAAAGCCAAAATCTCAAAAAGCTATTAAGATCTCAAAATGATTTTTAGCATTCATGTATTACATATTTAGCAATATATCAGCCACATTTAACTGAAATCTCAGATCAGGAAATTTCGCAAAATGAGTTCAAATTTCATTGCATCAATTTTATGACTATGTGCTAGTGTTGTATGACGGACCTATGATTACATACAGTACGATTACATGCGAAAGAGGGGGAACAGGCCTTTCAAAAGAGCTATAAATCATCTCTGTTTCTCCACTATAGCTAAAGTTATCCCGATATCACTACTGAGTCACAACCCAGTTTTAAATCACGGCTGGAAACAGCTCTAATTTCCAGCTGGACTCCAGCTGTAAATTCGCACCCATTCCAACTGGGTAACGGCTGGAAAGTAATCTCTAGATTTATTCCTAATTGCTATATCATAAGCTGAACAAGAATCTTTTTGTTGACTTTTTTTGTCAGAGGTCCATCTGTAGAAACAGCTGATTTTAAACTATAAATTTAGTAACATTCCAGCTGTAGGGTCCTCCTCATAAAATTCCAACTGGAAAATGTATGCTAATAAAATCAGCTGCATTTCAGTTAGATAATTCCAGCTTAGAATCAACCGGTACCTACTATTTTCCAGCTCTTTGCCACCTAGAAATGGTCCGATTTTACAGATTTGGTCCAGCTGGAACCCTTGTAGCACGTAACATTGAAACAACATTGATTCACTGTTGTTTCAACATCTTAGACGTCGAATCAACATTGAAAAAATGTTGTTTCAATGTTATGTGGTGCTAGGGAATATTCCTGTTCGGATTTTAAGCTGGGATAGTAGACAATTTTTCAAAACCCCATATCTTAAGATCTAATTGACTGAAAGCAAAAATATATCGAATATCATACTTTGTCAATGGTACCTCTGTACCAGTGACAAAGTATGATATTCGATATATTTAATCAAAATTTAATCATTAATCAAAATTTCACGACATGTCATGTCTGTAATGTCCGACTCGTAATCCGTCGTTCGTGCAATTAGCTCCATCGTGATGAATGAAATGAGAATCCATGTGAAGGAGGGTAGCAAGGATAAGTTCTTCTCTCACCTTCCGGGACATCCTTGACGAAAAAGTTCTCAGCTCTCTTGAAAAGGGGGAGGATGTCGTCGAAGGACCATCCAGGATTTCCCATGGCGGCCCAGTTGTCGTAGTCCTTGCGGTTTCCTCGCACATATATCCCGCCGTTCAGGGACGAACTTCCTCCCAGCATCCGCCCTCTGAACCAACGGCATCTCTGATGGTGCAAAAACAAACCCGATCTAACTTTTCTTTGGACTTGATGGGGCAATCTGCAAACAACCTCCTAAATGACATACGCAGTTTTGGTTTTGAAGAATGCCTATAAGTGGATCAGTGACGAAGCCATGGCGAATATTGCAGTTCCGCCCTGGATTATGTGAAACTTTGCTGAAATAATTATCACTATTTGCAAAAAGAAATTTTATTGCAACATTTTTATTGCCGGCTGCAGTCAGAACAAATTACACAGGAAATGTCGATTATCTGGGTTCAGCGAGATATCAGTCGATGCACTTTCTCTGTCCATCGAAGCCCTCTCGGTGGATCGTCTCTTTTAAGTTCGGTATGAGGCAAGAAAGGCATGGGAAAAGGGCGGGAGGAACGATTGAGGCAGAGGCCTCCCCCCAGGCCATGACCATCCCGAGTGACCAGCTAATAGCGGTGGGGAGGGGGTCCCGCCTCGTTAATAACGCCTCAGGGACGAGGAATGGATGGTCTAGGTTTTACGAAGTGAAATACGGCACAAATAAGCCTGCTCTACGGCGTAGATGTTTGACTCGATTTTCACGAAAGCGCGCCGAATTTAAAAGTCGCAACATGATGTATCTACTTGCATGAGGAATCCCTCTGGAATGACTTCGTGGTTTCGAGATTGATTTCGCCTCTTTTGAGGTACTAACAACTGCTGACTAGTTCTTGATTACTAATTTGTATCGAGCCCACCAGAATGAATTCGAGCGAAAAAGACGTTTTCATACTATTCATGAGGAAATTAAAATCTTTGAAAGATTCTATTAAGCGGGAAATCAATTCTGGAATTCTGGAAACGCGCAGAAAAACAAATATAATGTCATATTCGGATGAATTATTACTGAGGAAATTGTAATCAATTTTGAAATAGAAAAATATCACTCTAAATGCAGACGGCATTTGCCCAAATATGCAGACAGTACTAAAGACTTTTCTTTGTTTCTACAGGGTGTCCAAAAAAAATGTATACACACTTTGATTGCTAATTACTTCTATGTTTAATTTCATAAATTCAATTTTATAATTTTATAATGAAGAAAAAATGTGAGAAAAAATTATGCATTAACGC